CTTTCTAACAAAACTGCAGCACTTGGTTGAGGAAGAGGTTAAAGAAACATGTCAGACGCTGTGGGAGCCCAACGCTTACGATCCGGACCGGGAGCCAGCAAGATGGGATGATGTGCGAACAAGGTTTCAACTCAGTCATTTGGTCACTATGATAGCTCAAACTTGCTTGGCTGTTGGCAAAGAACAGCTGCCAGGCTACTACCAGGTCAAGGTCCTCGATTTAGGGGTCGACGGTAAGATCACTTACCAGTGTGTCAATCTACCCAGCGACGTCAGCATGGAGGGATTACTTTCACGAATGAAAGTCAGATTTCCTCCCGACAGTGAGCAGAGCTGGCATACTATCAACATCTTTATACATAGACTCGAGATTGTTCGGCAACGTGGAGATGAAGCACAGCGAAAGAGGGCCCAAGGCTTATTTCGCCAGCTGCATGAATTGGTGCTGGCAGAGAAACCTGAAAGTGAGAGATACTCATGGGTTTTGAAGTTGAGAAGCAGCTCTAATTTCTATATTCCCGCCGGCAAGTTGCCAGACCGTCTGAGCACGTGGACAAAGTTGAACGAAACAACCTACGAAGAGCTCCTCGAAGGCGTTCGAGCAAAGAAACACCCAGTTTTTATTCGAGTGAGCGTCATTGGTGCCCGCTATTGGCTACCTATGCTAACATTGTGTGAATAGCCCTAGAAGGTTCGACTTCGACGGTGGTGGCCTGAAGTAGATGAACTCATGAACCAAGCTGAATTATTCTTTGGCGGAGCCGGGCTGTCATCTTTCCAGCTTGATATCGTGGATGAACTTCTCGCCAGCCGCACCCAGGAAGAAATCCAGCGAGCAGCGAAAGCAAAACAAGCGCTAGACGGGGCGAAACTTGCGACTATGGGGACGCTTGATTTTCCAAGTATGAACAACAATGATTGACGAGTCTGGCTCCTTTTGACAACGATTCATGGGATGAAAAGGGATGGATCCTAATTCCTCGTGGATGAGTTGCTATCTTGACGACGAATTGTTCACACATGAAGCGAGAGGATGAAATTGCGTAGTGGACGTGCGATTTTATATACAATTATGCACTGAGTACAATAGACCAACCCATTGTTTAGTTTGGCAAGTTCACACAAGTGAACAAATGAGTACATCGCAAGAGATTGAGGACACTGTATTAATACCTAGATACCTATACTGGAAGATCTCAAGTTTACGGGAGCTTGACTACCTTACTTTATATCGCATGCTCAAGGCAGAAGCACTGTCACCACAGTGGGCATGACAAAAGTCAGCTTTACTCATCCACCACCCACTCAACTTCACCATAAAACCACACATTCCCTTTATAAATCCTTTAAAACTGCATCGTTGCATTTATTATAATATCGACGGCATAATGTGCCTCCCCTGTTTCCCGTGGACATGGACAAAATGCGAAGACCCCTATGATAATTTGCACAAAGCACCTAAGCAGTCGGTCTGGGTCCATGATGGGCAGAACTGGGAGCTTCAGAGAGTGGTGAGCATACATATTTCCTTGCCTTTCACCAGTTTCGTCAATTCCATTATCGTGGCCCTTTACCCTATCAAATCCCCTTCAATCTTGCGGGCCACCTGGTCCCGAGCCTGCGCCTGGACTGCCAGTGACAAGCGACTGGAGGGCAAAGTCGCCACAAAACGTGCCATTGAAGGATAACAAAACATAAACAAACCAAGTTTTGATGCTGTGTTTGTGCTGTATTGACGCCTTGAGCGCTGTTTGTGTGTGCCCTGTACGCACGAGAGGTATACATTCTCGAAGTGTCTCTCCTATCTGAGAGCTTCTTCTTCTTCTTCCTCATCTTCTTCCCTTCATTTCCTCCCTCGAAGGTATCACGAGATCCTGAGGCTTCTGATTCACGAGCCCTGAAAGTGGATTTATTTCCCAGTCTCAATTGTTCGAGTTGCACACAAAAGAAGCGATCATGGCCTCGGCAGGTGCCAGCGCCTTCAAGTCCCCCAAAATTCCTCGACGACCCAAGACCCCCGAGACTCGTCAAGTGCACTTTGGCTCTCAGACTAAGCCTGTTACTGTCACTGCTACTTCTGCATCTACATCTACATCTGGCGCCTTCAGCGAGGGCATCACGGGCTACACCACTGCCAATTCCCCCAGCGGCGGCTTCAGTGCTGGTATCAACGGTGTTACAGCTCCCAGCACTGCTCGGGCTACGACAACAACTGCTGCTCCCCGAGCAACCACTTCTGCGCCGGAGGAAAAGGGTAGCAATCAACCTACGAGCTTCCCTGCGCTCGGCCTAGGCCCTAACGCACAGCCTCAGTGGCATATCAGTGCCGACCCGACCCAGAGCCTCGCGCAACAAGTGCCAACTGGTTTCGTCTCGCCTACCCCTCAGCAGCACCAATTTCTCCCCCCTCAATTTCACCCGCATCCTCATCCTGCTCCCTTCATCAGCGCAGGCCAAAACCAATTCACCCCATCTCCAATCACCTACATCGGAATCGGACCCCAGTCTCCCGCTGTCAACACCGCGAACATGGGTGACTATCAGAACGCTGCGCCTCCTGTTCATGGCATGAACTTTCAGCCGCCTGTCCCTGACACTACCTTTGGTCCTATGCAGCACGTCTATGTGCCTCGCTTTGACAATGGTCTCGCTGGTGTCCCAGTCGGGGCCTATGCCGGTGTTCAAGTTTGTGCACCTTCTTCTTTTTCTTATGTTACCTCTTCTGCCCCTCTCTTGTCTCCTGTACCAATGACGACTCCCGCCTGCACTACAGTTGTGGTGCCCAAGACATTCTATTTGAATGGCTATACGTATTATGCAAGTTCAATTTGCTGATTAATCTTTGCGTTTTAACTTGGGCATGGAGTTGGCCTGAATCAAGTGTTTCAGTGCACCTCCGCGATTTCAGTGGCTCGGTGGCGGTCTACCTATTTCTTTCACTCGTTCCTCAAAATCTCATCACAACTATTAGCAAATGCTGACAAGTCTTATAGCAGCCCGCCGTCGGTGGTATGGCTCCCCAGCCTACCGTTCAAGGCAGCTACGTTGTCCAGCAACAGCCCTACTACTACCAGCAGCCGACCATGGGCCAACAGCCAGTCCTCGTTGCTGGCCACCAGCCCCAGCAGTTCATGCAGCAGGTTCAGCAGGTCCCAGGCGTTCCCACGGTCGGCGTTGCTGGTGGAGCTGCTGTGCCCGGCACGGTCCCCGTCTTTGCAGGTAATGTCCCTGGTGGTCACCATGTCCCTGATGTCACTGGTGTTGGTCGTACCGCTGGCGAAGAGCAGCTCCGTCAGATTCAGTTTGCGCATGCGAACAAGATGTACGAGCCTCAGGACTTCAAGCCAGCTGACGATGACCCCTCCCGTTTCTACTATGTTCGTGAAGTTGACGGGAACTGGACTCAGCGCAACCGATTTACCATTGATCACATGGGTGACTCCCGCTGGTATGTGACCGATGAGGGTTGGTTTTACGCCGTCCGACTCCCCAACTAAGCGACGCGGCCAGTAAGTTAACCCTCCTTTGCCTCATCTCCCCGATCATGTGCTGATAATCTGTAGACATACCACGAAACCCATAAGAATGATTATTGGGAAATCGTTTAACGCGAGCCGTAAGATATCTCACCACCTTGGGTCGAGGTTGTGCTCATAATTTTGCAGTTGGCTCTGCCCTCGATTCAGAATTTGATTTGAACTGTCACCCTATTTTCCATGTAAGTAGTGCGGAGACAATAAGGTGGCACAGGCTGACTTTTTGAAAGGGATGATAGCGCTTCTCGTACTTTCTCCGACTCTCCGACTTATAGAGAGCTCATGCTCAGTTGTGCGATTGAGATTGTATCGATGAATAAGACGTCTCACGAACAAGGGCATGGACTGCTATGAAATTGCGCAAGGAAACACTACCTACCGAATGCAGATAGGAAATTACTTCATATCATTCATATGAGGATACTCACTGCTACGGTTAATTGAAATTGTATAAAACGGCATCGCTCTGATTGTTCTGCGTGAACAAGAAGAAAATAGCATCACATGTCGTTGATTTACCCGTATAAACTCACGAAATTGAGTAGCGCCTGTGGGTATTCTAATGCTTGTCTTTAGCAGTCTTATTGGTTTAACCAAAAATAAAGATCTGACATTTTGCCATTGGTCAAATGGCTACAGTAGCTTGGATCCACAGGCGCTACTCAATTTTGTGAGTTTGCCAAGTTACTAATCCCTGAGGTGCAAAGAAGACTTCTAATATTAAAATGAGGGACTAAAATTACTTAGTCTAAGAGTCTCTACTCTGTAAATCCGTACTGAATTATACTAAATCTACCTAAGCTTACATAGGGCTTTTCGTTACCTAAGATAGAGAGGTTAGGCCTAAGTTTTGTTGCATTCCCTTGCTAATGTAAGCCATGAATGAGGTGCATTAGATGTGGGGTAACTTACTTACTACTGCTCCGACTGTTTCGTACATCCTCGGTAATTACATCATCGGTCTATGGTTTATCTCTGGCGTGCGCCAACTACTAACCTACCTACTTATGTAACTTATACAAACAGAACCAATTCCTTCAAATTCTCGCTGAATCCCGCCATTGCCTCGCGTTCATCCCAGAGCTCTGTGCGCAGACACTCTTTTACTCTTGTGGTCTAGGCGTGGTATTCTTTGAGTGGGATGAAAGAGGAAGGCTGACGCAGCTGCCGAGGGTAGACTTACAGGCGGTATTTATACTGCTTCGTCAAGGCAGCAATTGCGCCATTGAGGCAGATAGACCGTCTCTGATACTGACTTTTGGGAATACTGGCCTACTAAGGGGCCTTACTGTTTAAGCCTTGATTTGAAAAGTTAAAAGCTCGATAGCCTTGTATAAGGCTGACAGCAAGGGGGGCAAAGACCACCTCAGCTTATTGCCTCACCTTGTTAGGTCTATACCCGGCCCAGGTAAGACGAGTTAATGAGCTTAGAAGATTTTCTGACGACTTCCCAGATACGACATCATGCTTCTCATCGGTCTCACGGGTTCAATTGCCACAGGCAAGACGACAGTATCGTCAATGCTCTCATCACAACCCTACAACCTCCCGATCATAGATGCAGATATTCTAGCGCGCAAGGTTGTGGAGCCGGGAACTCGTGGGTATGAGGCTATTGTGAAACATTTTGGGCCTACGACACCTGAACTTCTGGTGCAACCATCAGAGAAGATGCCAGAAGATGGACCAGACGGCAAAGGCAGACCACTCAACAGACCGGCGTTGGGTAGACGAGTGTTTGGCGACTCAGAGGAGCGAAAGAAGGACAGAGCAGTTCTCAATCGCATCGTTCATCCGGCTGTCCGATGGGAGATGTTCAAGTCCGTCGTTGGGTGTTATTTCAGAGGCCATTGGGCTGTGGTTCTGGATATCCCACTCCTATTCGAGAGTGGCCTCGATCGCTTCTGCGGCGTCACAGCTGTAGTCGCAGTCCACGACCCAGCAGTTCAGATGCAGCGTCTGCGTGCGCGTGATCCTCACCTTAGCTCCGAAGATGCCGAGAACAGAGTGCGTAGCCAGACAGATGTTCGAGAAAAGGCCCGGCGATGTGAAGAACGAGGAGAAGGCAAAGGAATAGTGCTGTGGAACGATGGTTCACGAGAAGAGCTTAAGGAGCAGCTGGATAAGGCTATCAAGGATCTGAGAAAGGCAAGCCCTGATTGGTGGTCATGGCTATTGCTTGGATGTCCTCCTCTGGCGGTTGCTGTTGCAACGTGGAGGTTCTGGCAGAATCTTATTATTAATGAGAGATGGGAGGAGATGAAGTTGAATGCGAAGCTGTGATGGTGAATTATAGGTAGGGGAGTTTGTTTGCTTTTAGTGACTGGAAGGTGGATAATAGGTATCTACCTACCTAGGCACAGGTGAATTATATACACAAGGAGGAAGGAGCCCCAACTCAAGCTCGCTCCTGCCTCTTTTCTCAACCACGAACCAACTCTTTTCATCTCAGCGCAGTTCATTTCTATTTTATTTACATCTTTCACCAAAACAAAACAGAGCCGCTACGTGCCCTCTTTACATTTCTTTTCTGATCTGTAGATTGCCAAGCACTACCTACCTAGGGCTATTAACACTTTGTCTTCACCTCGCCTTGGCAGCTGCGAGCAGCTGACAACAACGAACCTTCGACTATTGCCCATGCCATCTGGGTGACTCCTTGTGCCCAACCTCAAAATAAAAACGCATAATCATCTCTTTCTTGACCTTTTGACCTTACTAAAGACAAACTATCTTGACAATTTCTTTGGTACAGCAAACTTCTTTGGTGCGATGTCAAATCGCAAAGCGAAACTTCCCTCGCATTTTTGCGAATGGGTAGTTGGAACAACAATCGAATCTGTTATCGGCGCCATCCCTCAGAATAAACCCCCTAAGAAGCGAGACGTCGTGCGTGTTGAGGTCACCACTGATGATGAGTCCGAAGAGGACACCGTCAAGATCACCTACCCGCGCACTGGACGCACCTATACACCTCCTCCGCCTGCCAACGAAGCAAAGACCGAGGCCAAGAAGGTCCGGTTTGACTTTCGCCAAAATGGTCCCATCAAATCAGCTATGAAGCAGACCACTACCGCAACTCCCATGGTGGACTCCTCAGATGAGGCATCCGAATCCGGACCAGAAACCGAGTCAGACTCCAGTCAGTCGGCATACATATCAAGCTCTGACGCCACAGATTCTGATATTGACTACTCAGTTGAGTGCGTGAAACACCAAAAGCAGAGAAAGAAGAAGCGCAGACAGTCACAGGCCGAAGAAGACGCTGAGAGTGACTGGGACTCTGACCCAGCACCAAATTGTCCCTGTGGGAGATGTACAAAGGGTCGACAGATACTGAAAAGAGTAGGCCGGAAAAGGAGCAAGGAAATCACACCGCCAAGCCCCGAAACTTCTGATTCGGATGAAGAAGAAGAACCCCCCAACACCAAGCGACAATCTGGTAAGAACAAGAGGAGGTGTCTTAAAAAAGCAAAACCAGCAGAGCCTGACCCCGATACTTCTGACTCAGATTCAGAGTCTGAGATCCTAGCACTTAAGAAACGGAGCCAAACCAAAAATCAAGGCAAGCAGACAGATGGAAAGAAACAGCAAACCGCACCCCAGCCTCCTATGACCAAGAAGCAACGAAAAGCGATGAACAAAAAGGCTAAGCAGCAGCAAGAGCAAGAAGTTGAAGGAGAAACATCTGACTCACCCAAGGAAGCAGAGGAGGAAACTGAGCCAGAAGAGGAGCCCAAGAAACAGAACAAAGGCAAGCAGAAGAATAACAAGAAGCAGAAAGGAAAACAAGCAAAACAGAAGACACAGGAATCAGAAAATGAAGCCAATAAAGACCAAGAGGCTGCCCCAGCTGATGAGGCCCCCGAAGCTCCCAAAGACACAAATCAAGGCAAGTTCAGAACTATGAAAGGAAAAGCAAAGGCACAGCCTAAACAAAAGGATGGAGTCAAGAAGGGCAATTATCCCGAAGGACTACCAGTTCCCCATATGCGTCCACCACAGTTTGTCGAGCCCATCAGAGCTCAGGTCGTTCAGATAGAGCGCGTGATCAAAACTCCACAAGACCCAACACCTAACGCTTACTACAATGCAGAACACAATATCTTGAGAGCCTACGACGGCCTTGCCTACGGCAATCACCAAAGCAATGCGCTGTACCCAGAGCGTGACGCCTTCGGCCGCCCTCTGCCAATTGGCCAGCCTCATCCGATGCAGAACCCCTTCTACTATGGCTACAACAATCCGCAGCAGTATCCCAACTATCCACAGATGCCACCATTCCACCAAGGCTATACAGGGGCTCCTCCACCACCAGATGCATACTCGCATGTTCCCATCACCCAAGGAATGGGCCCTCCTCCATGGTACGCCATGGGCCCACCTCCAGGAGTCCCCCCCTCTGGCTACTATGGACATAGGAGCCCTGTAGCCAACAAAAACACTCCGGTGTCCAAAGCGGAGAAAAATAATGTTGGACCTCCCGGAACTCTTACTGTAAGTGATTATTAAAGAAACACACGGGCCGGACCGGATTTAACTCAGCGACCCAGGGCCAGGAAAATCCATATTATAAGAGAAAGTCACAAAACAACGGATGGGAAAGCCACCGTTCTGTGCCCACGGAAAATGGCCAGCCTACAGGTTCCGACAAGGCTGGGTCCAACGGGTCCAACGGGTCTAACGGCTGGAACAAAAACAACGATCAAGGAGCTGGCTGGAACGATGGACCAACTGACAACAAGGACCAAGATGCTTGGGCCGCATCGGCCCCAGACAACAACCAGAACGGTAATGCCTGGGATGCGAGCAACAGCCAGGCAGTTGACGATTGGAATAACAAGACCACTCCGGATAGTAAGCCGGAAGATTGTTCACTGCCACAACCAACCGGCGAGGGAGATCAGAATCAAAACGACTCGGGAGAAGGCTCGAACCATTCGAAAAAGAGCGGAGAGCATTGGGGCGAGGACACGTTCCCAGGCGCCTGGGGGGGTGAACAACAGACCACAAGCAGTGTTGGGCAAGGAGCTGACAACAACGTAGGCATCTGGGCTCCCACGGACATAAATGGAAGTGTGCATGGGTATAGAAAGGGAGATGGAGACGGAAACCAAAAACCTCCAGATCGTGACAACGTCATGCCTGGGACATGGGTTGACGCCCCCGGAGTTACTGTGCCAGAATGGGGAGATGCTAGTGCAGCACAGGACACGAACGGCCAAGCCGTACACTGGTGATAGAGATTGGAAACTTGCTACATGCGGTGATGGGAAAGATGTCTAGTTTAGCTAAGGGGGTATGGTATCCGCAAAATCACTCACTGTACTATAAGATGCTATGACTAAATGCCTCCCGACCGAATCAATCAATCAATTAACCAATATTCAACCCCATGTAAATGAACACGTTCTGTTGTGACTTTTGTCTTGTAACATTTGATGCGTTATAATGCCATGATGCAAACCAGACCGCCCTAACTATCGTCGAGTCGTGATGGTCCTGTTGGTGTCAGAAGTGGAATAACATCAACTCCGCGAACCGTCTTATGCTTGGTACAACATCTGCACAGCATAGCAGAAAAGCAAGAGCACAAATTGCAGAACCAAGCCGAGCAAGAGATAGCAGGGCAGGCATTGTCAATCAGAGGATTGTGCAGCCGTGAATGGACCTGGGCGGCCATGGATCAGCTTTGTCCTGGAATGGGAGACGTCGTTTTAGCCTGAGAGACGGACACGACGACGAGCACGGGCTCAATGAGGGGCAATGTATATGGTGAGGGGGCTTGATACGGCATAGGATGCATGAAAAGTTGAGAGGTTATAAATTTGACTTACCATCTAGATGTCTCCCATTCCACGATCCACGTGCAGCATATCTTGAGTCGCTCACGTACGCTGGATGTGCCCAGGAGTCGATATTTCTCAATGTCTTTGACCGGCAACATACTGGCAAACCACCAGGGAAAGATAGCAGGGTCTTCTGGACACTCGCCGTATATCGTCAACATGCGTTCTGTCAACCAGGGGACGCTCTGTTGACGCATTCGAGCGACGAAAGATGACGCGTGGTGCATAAGACTCTGCGTAGACATTGAGTCGATCTCCGTAATCGAGGTCGGCATGTGCGGACTGGATGAATCAGACCGCGGTAATGGAGATGTCGGTGTTGGTTCAGTTGGTTCCTTAGCAATATCCATAGTCTGCAGGGGTTGTTGTTGATCGTCAGTCTCTATCGGTGTTGCTTCAGCAGCCTCAGCAGCTTCTTCATCCTCGAGACTAACATCGTCTATCCTTTCAGTCTTGCCGACAATATATCCGTCAAGGTAACTATGCTCGAGAACGCGGAAGCGTGACAGGCCCACGGTCTCAATAAGACTCCGGCCATCTGGGAAGAACTGGACATTGACGATGCGGAGAAGCGTGCCTAGATCATGGAAGTTCGCATCACCAGGATATTGGGGCCGTTTAGGTATGACCATACCGAAAGTACGGTCTCCTTCCAGTGCTCTCCGGATCATGAGTCTATACCTTGGCTCAAAGATATGTAGGAATGTCGGCATTTGGGGGAACGACAGTGTGCAGACGAAAAGAGCAAGGTCGTAATCCTGCATCTGAGCCACCCTTTCAGCATCCAGTGCTTCCTTTCGAGCGTTGACTTCCTCCAACCAGAATGTTTCGATGATGCGCTTGATAGTCTGGTTGGAGGGCGATGAAGTTTGACTCAATAGGGGGCTGATAGCCAGTGGGCGACGACATATCGGGCAATACCGTGAATGGTCGAGAATGCGATGTAGGCATGACCGACAGAAAGTATGTCCGCAAGAGGTTGTAAGAGGGTCGTAGAAGAGTGCGTAGCAGACCTGACAGTCCATCTCGGCGCGAGTGGCATCTTGCGCCTTTCGAACGAGCCCTGTATCATCAGCATCAGGAGGTGGTGAGGGCGTCGCCGATGTAATTTCGTCGTAGTATACATCGGCCTCATAAGACAAGTCACCCTCCTCCGCAAGGCGATAAGTGGCAATAACCTTTCCACCGGGTATCACCTTTGTATATGCTTCATCATCGTCCCTCATAGAAGAAACGCCTGCAGCAGCCCAAGGGTCAGGCCACATGACCTTGGTCGCCAGTTTGGTGGTACAAGACTCGTTCTTGAATCTTTCGATCTCTTCCCTCACGTGTTGCGCCGTCTTGTTGAGCACAACATCAACAGCACAGTCGCCAATGGCATGTTCCTTGCCGCAGTCCTCAAAAGGACATTTGAAGCCACGAAGTCGTTCTGGAGCGGCGGGATATGTTATGTTGGCGCGCATGTGTGTGCCTGGTAAACAGCGCCGGCACAGACTCTTACCACAGGGGAGACTGATAGGCTCATCCAGAGGCAGTGAGCAGATCTGACACTGGAAGAGTCGGACGAAATCGCGAGGGGCGACATCTCGATGGCGAGAAGTGCTGGCAGAAGGCGATGGTGGCTGTGATTGTGTTACTTGCGACGGCTGCCGGCCCGAGTCCGGAGGTTCGTGATCGGAATCGGTAGGCGGATCGGAAGCCCGCGATTGTCGAGGTCCGGGGCCAGAACCGGGACCGGAGGCGGAATCGGTCGCGGCAGCTTGCGACGTGCCTTCTGAGGACATGAACGTCTATAGATTGCGTGCGTATAGTACAATAAGAAGATTATGAGACAGATAGAGGGTATATATGTTGTGTTCTTGAGTCGTTACTCTTGGTAGTGTCGTAGCGGGCGTCGAAACTCTCTAATAAGGTGCGAGCCTCTGTAATGATGCGTTGTTGGTAAAAAGGAGCCAGAAGTAAGTAAGTACCTAGGTAGGTAGTGTTGCTTTGAGGTGAAAAGAAAAGAAGTTGATAGATATCCCCGAGTTCTATGCGATGCCTTGGCTGCTATATCGTCGTCGTGTTTGCTGAGTTTGGGGATGAAGACGAGTATTGCGATCTTGTTGGCGTAGCCGTTGAGAGCGTGTCGAGTGCATGAATGTGGCCGAAGCAGTGTCCAGATGACGAGGACAAGCCGTAGACAAGATAGACATGGATTCTGTGGGATAGTAAGATTACAAAGATCGTATCGCTGAGGCTGAGCGAAGCATCTCCGTTGTATGAGTGGAAGTGTATGTATGAGGGTATAAGATAGTGGGGGGTTTAATGAGATGAAGTAGTACTGGTACTCCTTGAGCAGCGGGAAGATGTCATAGGTTTAAAGATGATGAGAATCGTTTAAAACGGCTGCCGAAGTCGAGCCCACTTTGTTCTGTCTGGGATTTTCTGACAGGGGTATGTGTAGGGGGGGAGACGGGGCTGGCTCCGGGAGTCTCAGCGTTGAAATAGTTATGTACCGAGTAGGCTATGAGAAGGGAACAGGCGAACTATCCTGGGGGGTTGCTTGCTAAATAAGAGAGAAAGAAATGGGAACAGGGGAAAGGAGAAAGACGGGGTCTTCTACTTCAGGCCGTAGTGCCGAAATAGAATACGTCGACAAAGATATGTAGAGGGTTGTTGAAGATGAGGTGCAGCAAAATATAGAGATCGTCATACACCAGAGAGACTTACCAATCCGGGGACAATTCTAGAGGCACGCGGAGAGACAAGAGTCTAGCTCGGGGGGTGTCGATGTAAAAGGACTAACTGGCCTTTACGATAAAGAGACACACGAGCTCCCAAATGGGAGAAGAGGCGAACTTGACAGTTCAGCTCAAGTTTGATCGTGTCTGTTGTGAACAAGTCAAGAGGAGGCAGACATGTTCAAAGATAAAGGAAAACGGGCAAAATCATAGGCGTCACAGTCTCAGCAGACGATGAAGAATACATGCATAGAAGCACCTAGAGTTAAGACTAGACTAGACTCAACCAAGCCATACCAATTTAAATCAGAAGGAAAGGGAAGAGAGATCGGGGATGTTGTCTTGTCCCTATACATACAAAACATATCCAGAAACTTGGTGGAGAGGCCCTAGTCTCTGACATGTATACAGTACTTGGTTTGGGAACGGGCTAGGATGGATGGACACATTGACAACTGGGAAGTGTTGTAGATTTTTCCAATTTAGCACTAGGCAGTTCCTAGTAAGCACCTAGTAAAGCTGCTAGACAGAATGAGGGTCCCCTAGAAAACTTGAGAGGACCCTGCGTATATCACGAGAGTTTTAGACGCCTTCAGTCTAAACTCATCTCGGGGTTCAAACGGTCATGGAAGACTATGCTCGGGTGTTTGAAACTGAAGTTGACGGACACGGGCACGGGCACGGAGACACAGGAATGAAGCCAACGAGTCAAATGGTCACAAGAACTCGTACCCTGGAGCTCGCGAGTCACACAACAGCATCATCAACTTGTGTCTTACAAGGCAAAACGGATGACGATGGCAGGCCGGGGTCGGAGACTCATGACGTCGAAGCCAATAACAGTAATTACTTCAAAAACTCGGGGGCAAAAACATCAAGTACGCTGTCGGATTTCAAATGGTAATGCATTTCGAGCAACCAGTGATTGAGTTACGAATTCGACAGCACCAGATAGATAGACTTTGGTCGCCAATCCAGCAACCGGAACCTACGACAAGCCCTCATTCAATGATTCAGTTCGATAATCGGGAGCATGCTAATTCCATTCCTTGCTTTTGCAGATTGCTGTGCCATGCTGTGTTGTATTGTGCTGTGCTGTGCTGTGCTGTGCTGCAAACCGGGGATGCATGGGAGGATGAACCTAAAATAAAACACATCCCGGCTCGATGGGGCCAAGAAAACCGTTCAGATCCAAGATCCAAGATCCAAAATCCAAGATTCAAGATTTGGGAAGGGAAGAAGGAGGGGAAGGGAGGGGAAAGGCTCTTGTCTGAGTTGAGGGTTAAGATAATAAAAGTTGAAATACAGACAAAGGAAACTTTCCTCTTCTTCACAGCGTAACCGAAAAGTTACTCGCCCCAGAAACGCAAGCATGGCCAATTACCATAGAGACCAGTAGTTATCACAGATCGCGATGCAGGAAACCACAGGAAACGTTCAGGGCCAGGGCCAGGGCCAGGGCAGGGTTCTCAGTAGAAGATGTGTATGTGTATGTGTATGTGTATGTGTTGTAGCATTGGATGTAGACGGTACTCGATCAAGACCTCTTTCTCCCCGCGGCAGAGAGAAGGGACCCCAGTTTCGCATCTGTCGCCGATCTTGCTCTTGTTTGTGTGTGTACAGTACAGGACAATCTCCTCTTTGGCCCTCCTGGAACGTCCGCGGACAACGGAATACAGCGCGTGCGCGCTCTCTCTCTCGAAAAGAAATGTAACTAAAATCCGTTGTGAGTCGGGGGTTATTGTAAAAAGGGGTGTCGTTGTCGTTGTCGCTTCCCTCTCTCTTGAGGTTTTCGAGATTCTGGCTGACGAGAACGATCGAGACAACGCCGCAGTTGCAACGGCCATCGGGGGGAATCAACTAGCGAATCGACGCTACTTAATAGTTGAGAGGGAAACCTGCCATTAACAATAAAAACGGGCTGGCAGTTTCCGAGACAAAATGGAGCCTTGCGTCCAAGTGAGAGCCTCGCTATTGGATAAAAGAAATGGAAGTGGGAGAAGTGGGAGAACTTGGGGGGGGTACAAAGACAGGCTAAACATGTAGACAGGTCCTGGCAGGGCTGGCGCATGCGTAAGCACAGCACCCAGTAAGAGCTAAGAAACTCCAGGTTCCTAGGATCAGGCCAGGTCAGGTCAGGTCGTGACTTGACTTGACTTGAATGGAAGAGGCTCAAAAAAGAAAGTCGTTGGCGTCATGTGAGACAGGGGGGTCCAGCAAAGGATCCATGATGGGCCGTGGTCATGATGCCAACGATCTTTTTCTCTCGGTATGTACTCTTTCGCCATGTTGAATAGCTAATCTCTAAAGGAGACCACATTTTCTAACCGACAATAAAGTTTTTTTTTTTTTTTTTGCCTTCAGACACGATCAATCTCGGATCAGATCAGATCTCAGCCTCTCAGCCTCTACTCTCGGCATCAACAGTTCCAGAGCGTTGGGCCCAATCTACGCATCATCGTTTCTCTCAAGCCTTGCACTTGTCATCCAATCAATAGTCTCGAGGGTGTGGCGGCCCGGATCGAGATGCGGCCAGTCCATTCCCTCAACCTTTCAGCCTCCCCTTGCAACGATTTCCTGATACAGCGAGACAAGCAGCAGTTCTCGCTGCTGCTGCTGTTGCTGCTGCAGCATGTCGCACAATGTTTCCAGCTTTCCGGGGCTGCACAGCAGAGCATGGTTTAAAGGTACGGTACGGTGCGGTACACGAGTTGAAAACGTGCTTCTCTACTCCGTAACTAGGTGTGCAGATAATTATCAGAGGCAGCATCTCTGTTGGCTGATTATTAGCCGCCAAACGTGACCGAACTTTGACAGGCTGTCATGGCTTGTTTGTTGTACCTGTTCTTTGGAATGTCCCTCTTCTCGTCATGAGCTAGGGAACCGTACCCCCAGGACCCCTTATTTGGATGACGCTTACTATGGTGTTGTCTCTTCGAAATGAGTTAGATCAGTTCGCATTCGCCAACAAATGTTCCAATTGTTCTAGACCATCTCCGATTTCTTGGTTCCCGAATCAGGACTGACTGGCTTGCTCTGTTGTCGCTGTTGAGAGTCAAGTCACTTGGCGATGCCGAGTTATGGATGACGAGTGACATTGATTCTTCCGCTTACCTAGTCAATATGACTTCTCTCCTGAGGCTGAACTTATCATCAAGACTGATCATGTGTGAGAATGACTGCCAAGAAAGGCAATTCATCACACGACCATTTTCTGTTTCTATATGTTTAATTCTCTACCAACTCGATAACTAAAAAAGAGCCCCGTTTCGAACCTCAAATCTCGAGCTCCAGCCTTCAGGACCCTGAATTCAACGTCCCCACAGTAGCTGAACTAATATGTAAGTTCTCTGATCTGATCCTCCCTTAAGAATCTATCTTTCTGCCTATGAGCATAATTCTCTTAGTAAATACGATTAATACTTTTAACGTCACCTTGATTTCTGTCTACCTCCATAGGCAATTCTTTTATTCATCGCCGGCTTCCTCCGTCTGCTTGTTCCATCATCACATGTCATTCCCGTTGCCTCGAGCTTGAGCTTGTTAGAAACGGTCTGCCCGTGCATAAGCTTATTGTCTCAAACCTTCGTATAGCTCCCCTGCTCGTGATAACTTCTCGTCCCCGAACAAGCTGAGAAGAACAGTACAAGTCTAGGGCTTATCCCACTCATTCAAGTTCAAGCGTTTTGAGCAAAAAGTATTATCCATGATACTCCCATCGTTCAACGACCGAGATGCCATAAACTTCGGCCCTTTGCAGGCGGTAACGTTTATGACGAGAGATACAAGAAAGCCACAAGGGGCCCCTGACGTACTAGGGACGGTTTAGAGAGAAATGGAGTCTTTGCTTTGCTCTGAGTAGGTATGTAAAGAGGCAATTGGACAGACGACACTCGATGCAGCGGGGAAGCTGCTTTTTCTGACGTTGATGCTACGTTTTTGTTTTTGCTTTCTTTCTCCTCTTTTTCAGTTCATTCTTCCCTTAACCTCTTCTCTATTGATCTTCTCTTCTTTTGCTAAACTCCAAGCTGCCCTTTTCTTCACCAACATCACATACTCAAACACTCATCATGACTTCCAACACCATCTCTCAACTCCCCACCGCAGAGCAACGTCAAGACATCACCGCCCGCTTGGCAGACCTCATCACAGCCATTGAGTCTCATTCTCAATGGACTCCCCCCAATGTTGATCGTGGCCTCTTCCACGTCTGGGACTTTGTCAAGAGATCTCACTATATCATGACCGAGCTGGACAACATCGCTGCTGGTCGAAAAGTTCAGCACCCAGAACAAATTCCCAAGAACGAAGGTGGTGAGTAGCAGAAGCTATCCTATTGCTAATCTCTATGGGAGAGTGTACCTGGGCTTACACTATCTTCTTTGTAATAGTCGCTTCTGGCTCTGAAGCTGCCCTCGCTTCCTACACCGACGTTTGCACACGTTCCATCACAATCAACGAGATGATTCAAAATCCTCGTATGCTCGTCATGCTCGGCCTCTCCAACGTCGACTTCGGCTCCGCTATTCAAGAAAAATCAGCAGCCGTCAAGGAGGCAATCAAGAGCGCAAACTAGATCTGCTCTGGACCTGATACACGAATGACGTTGAAGAGCTTGCGTCACGCGAAGATCGTCGGTCGTTACAGGGTTTATCCATGATGGAGTAAAGGGCGCATTGGGAAACAATTCAAGACTCGAAATAAGAGGAAAAGAGGACAAGAACAGAAAAGCTCACAGGTGGAATCCAGTTCTTTGCTGGGCCAACAAAGGTTTAACTCGATAGTACGAGCTGGCTAGTTCAGCAGATTGGATCTTCAGCCAAGGTACCGAGTATCTGAACGATAAAAGTAACAACACATCGTGACGGATTCGTGAATCTCCCTTTGGAAATTGAAACGTAGAATGAAATGGCATTATCATTCCTTAGCCATTCAAGCCTAGCCTATCCATGCTTTTCTTTACTGTTCTATTCAGGAGAACAGAGGAGCAGAATAGGATAGCTGTCGTCATAAACAGACCATATCGGTAAAATTACCATCATGTCATCCCTTATGATCTGCAAAATGCCCTTATCCAATCTCGATAACTATACACATGCCTCCCCCCCGTTCCCATTGTCCAATAAACCCGCCCATATACTTACCTCCCCATGATTGTCGCCCAAACGAAAAGGATATCATAGACACATCGTGCAACAGAATGTGAAAAGACCAATGCAGCTGATTGCACATCAGATCAACTTCTCTCTCGTCATCATCTCACTCCAGCCCAGCGCCCCTTGGCTGTTGTCGATGGCCCGAGGGTAAGTCGACGACCGATGTTTCCAAAGCAGACACAGCTGCAGAAAAGCACACTCAGCATCCACATACCCGTCTCTAGTGTCTTCTGCTGGGCAAGTCCACCGAGAATGGGCATATCTCCATCGGCTGCCATTGTGGCGTTAACCAAATGCCTGAAAGGAACCTGAGTAGGCGCCGGCATCATATCTGGGTTCACGCCAAGGAGCACAACCGACCCTGCGAGTCCAACCGCAGCTGAGAGCAGAAAGCCAGGCTTTGAGCGGTCGATAAGCCACCATAGGAGGGGATTGACAAGTGCCAAGGTCAGTGACACTTGGAGGGTGGACGCCCAGGCCACCTTGCGCTGCAGGATGTTAGTTATGCGGAACAATGGCTTTGTCGTTGGCTGACTTACAATCGCGAAGACAATTCCAACAAAGGCACCGATAGCCCGAACAGCAAGCGCCCAGTCAGTGCTTGGGTCGTCATCTTTCGTCGAAGCACTGTTTTCTAACACAGCTTCATCCCCATTGTCGCCGAACGAATTCTCCCATACTCGATCAAACCAAGGGAACAGCGCGCCCAGTGCAACGCCAGCAAGGCCCCAAAACGTTAAATGGCCCCAGTTGTACGTGGCACGAGACGGAAGACTGTCCGACTCGTGGAAGCGCGATGTGACTAATACGCCATATCCCACGCCGAGAACGAAAAGCAAAAGTCCTCTTAATACCAGAGCACCACCAGATGGCGAATGCTTTAGAGGCCCAACGGGTTCTTGAACGCGAATCGAGGACCGACGACGAATTTGGTGTGATCGATCTTTAAGAAAATCAAATGTAGCGTCGTCGATGCTGGGTCTCTTGATGGGTGTCTGAGCGCCTGTTCCCCAGGGTGTATCGAGTTCATCGCGATCGGCAAAGACACGGTCGCGCGAAGAGGACGTTGTGGGAGAGTAGATTCCGAAGAGCGTCGAGGACGTCAAATTCATGAACGATTGAGGCCTACTAAGACCTGCGCTCGCAGGCTCGGGAGTTGGTTGTAGGAAGCGCGCAATGTTGGGATCTGGAGCTGGCGCTGGGGTTGAAGGAGACGAGTTCTCGCTTGGTGGTGTAGGAGTCGTCAAGCTGAGATCGAAGGGTCTTCGAGGGACGGGACGAATAAGAGGGGGACCATCGTCAGCCATTTTGAAGGTAAGTCCTTATAACTGACTGTTTTGGTTGTTAGGGAACTTGTATGAAGACAATGTTGAAGGGCAGCAATTGTTTATGAACGAGGCTTGGGTTCAGCTAAAGTGAGCTGGAACCTGCAAGTCTCAATATTAGACAATGCAGTGCTACTATACTCACACAGTCGAGACCAGTCCCAGCTTAGTATGAATCCTAAGCAAATATTGGTGTAGCTTCCGAGGGATGGTCTGTCTGTCCCGGATAAAAGTATTTGAAGCTGTTGGGGTCCAGTCTCTGTAACCCTGTCCACCACGTACTTTCACAGCGCGAGCTAACGAGCACAGGGCCTAAAGCTAGTTGGACCGGGAGATCCGAAGCAATTCAAGCAATTAAGGATAAACCGCAAATGCTGAGAGAGAGAAATCCAAGAGCTTCGAGTATCTTGTTGTTGAAGCTGTTATAGCGAGGTTGGGGATTGGGTGGCAAAGAAAGAGTAAGACAGGAATGAGGAGATGGGTAATAAGAGGAAGCAGAAGGAGGACAGCCCTGAGACCCCAAATAGAGAGAGCAACTGAGTGAGAGAGTTGCAATAAGAGCAGTGAGAGAGTGAGAGAGAGGAAAAAGAAAAGAGAGACGGCACGTACATACTTACTAGTTAGCCTCAACTGAAAAAGGGAAGAAAACGAATGAGCTGAACGAGGTTGTCGGGTTCGCTCTTCACATGCTCACAAGACCAAGGGACGGGCAGTTTCACGACTAAGGGCCCCAGGAATTACGTAGATGTGCCCCATTTACCTGCATATCAGCAAGCTGTTAAGGGCCCTGGACCCCTGTATCTTTTAGGTGGGTGAGTCCCGTCCCCGCCTGGTTCTGTAGAGATGTCACTGATGATAGTGATGGAGAGTCAATAGTGATGAGCTTGATTGATACTCTGTAACTTGATTACGGTCATGCCCAAGGTAAAGATACAATTGTAGACAATGAATATATCGTCCTCAACCTCTAGTGCCTGTTGTTGACATTCTTGATCGACATCCTCCATCCAATCCCGTCTATTACCCCACATTCAAAACGCCTCAAGCTTGAATTCGAGACTCCGTGGTTGGTCAGACTAAGGTAATTCTGCTTTGACTTGCATTTGTGACCCCCTCGTGATTCAAGCACATCCATTAACTGCCTTACAGTACAAGATCAGCAATCCCCTGGGGCCCTGAGCTACGACCCAAGAGTCCCAAAACGGAAATCCGCGGTGCGATTCGGTTTACTTGCAACTGTTGATACTGCACCGCAACTCTACACACATATCATGCATGTACTGTACTTACTGTAGGTACATAGCATTTCTTGACCGGTCTGACGCTGGCGTGAACTCAGTGGCTGTGGCGACTTCAACGGCATGCTTGGTTCGATTTGCATGTGATTCTGGGCACATAAAACAACTGACTCTCACCTCACATCACCACCTCTGATTCCTCACATCCATATCTAACATTAGTTTATAGATTGCTAGCTACTACTACCTATATATCACAAACAAACGCAAATATCCAACCAATAACATGCATGCATTTTCAATTCCCTAATGTTTACTCCTCGTCGCTATCACTCTCCTCTTCCTCTTCCTCTTCCTCTTCCAGCTCATCCTCACTCTCCTCAACTCCCTCTGGCCGGGGTATCATCATAAACGCCGTCATGCATGTGATTCTGTTTTGCGTCTCATACATCCCCAATAACTCTCCCTTGGCCTCCTCTGCCTTGTCGCTACCCTGCAGCTCCGGCACGCCCACCCGCCAAACGCGGACCCGTCCGTCGCTGCTCCCGCCAGCCACGTACAGCGTCGAGGCGTCCTCCGCACTCGGCACCACCACAAAGTCCTTGATTCGGCCCTCAACTCCGCCGGCTTTTCCGCCGATTTGACCCATCAACTTGGCTGTCGGGAGCTTCTTGTCCTCCGACTCCGGTTGTGTAAGGTCCGATTCTTTGGTCGAGAAGAACAGGATGCGGCCATCCTCTGTAGCAACCGCCAATAGTGTCGCATCCCCTTCCTTGTCTAGTGCAACATAGAAGAACTGGTGCACCTTTGTTCGGATTGATCCCATAATCCTGCATTTGGGCACACTGTCCATGCCAAATGCAACAATATCCCGATCAAACCCTACTGCGAACTCATCTGCTCCATCAACGCTTCCCCAAACAACTCTTCGGCCCTCTCCAGTAGAATGCTTTGCCTCGCCAGCCTCCTGCAGCATGTCTTTGCTAAAGTTCAACACTCCAGCCTTCTTTCCAGTGACCAAGTTCCACAATCGCATTGATCGCTCGCCCTTGCTGACGCTAATCATAAGCTTCATACTGGGGTGGATGGCAAAATCGTTGACGCCAGAAGGTGTACCACCGAAAGGCGCTGTGTCACCGCTAGGACGGCCTTGAGGCTTAGGAATAGGTGCCTTGATGTTGCTAAGTAAAGACCAATCTCGTGTTCGTGTGACCGCAATTGTAGAGTCTTCGCTCGATGATAGTAACTTTGAGCGTGTAGGGAAACATAGCGATGTCACAGTTGAAGAGTGATGAAGGAGCGTGCCAACCTCTCGGTTCTTGGGGTTCTCGAGAATTGGTCGGGGGGCGACCTTGGCCAGGATCTCCTGGTTCTTTCGGCTGGGGGGATGCGCCGACAAGTTGTAAACGTTTACGCGCTCGTCAGTGCTACCGGAGGCAAGCATGACCTTTTGTGTCTGTCCAGGAACGGGCGCTGAAATAGGCGACGCAGCAACGCAGCGAATCGCCGAGGTATGAGCATTGAAGAGAAATGTGTCGGCGAATTCAGCCTTCTCTTTTCCTCCAACCGTCACTGTCAATCCGTGAAGAATTCGGTCGTAGGAGCCGACAACGATCTGGATAGTCTCGGGCGCATTCGAAGCGGTTCTAGTAGTGGTAGACTTCTTCAGCGATGAAGTCTTTGCCTTCACAGGCTTTTCCTTAAGAACTTGAGCTCCCTTTGCCTTCTTCTTGATTGAAGGCTCAGAAGCAGGTTCATTTTGAGCGATAGCTTGTCTCTTGCGTTTGGCCATTTTGTCGAATTTATTGTGATGTTGAGTAGTCGCTGCAGAAAGCTTCAATTCCCAGCTACATGTCG